CACGGTGAAAAGGCTGATTGTTCGGTGGCATGCGGTTCTACTCACCCTTCCACCTTCTTGTTGCCTGTTTTCAAAGTGGGGACTATTGTGAAGCTGGTGATTATGATGCAAATTCGGTCTTTTCATTTCTGGGCTACACACAAAGACCAATTACCATATATACAAGAGCCAGGGTCTGCCTTCTTTCACCGTGTTCGCTCGAGCGTGGGCCAAAAATAATAGCTGAAAAGCGGGCTGAGGATCTCAATTTTTACGGTGACTCTATTCGCATCCCATTGCGAAGGAGTTAATTCAAAGGAAATTTCCCTACCAGTACCCAGCAGTATGAAAATAAGATCCACAAGTTTGTTTTTTATCTCACAAGGTAGTTACATGTACATGTAGATGTAACTAGATGTGACTTCACATACAGGAGATAAATGAATGATACCCAATCCATACAGAGACCTTTGAGTATTCTTTGTTCGCATGTATTTATCATTTCCGTTTATTCATCAGCACGCTGTTTGCGAGCCCTTGTGTCAATGCAAGCCCCTTTGTATTACGATACTATTGTGTGGAACATTATAGATGTATAATTTCCAAAAGCGTTAGGTTAGTCAGTTGCAACATGATCTACATGAACGTCTGAAAGTGTGTCTCTCATTCACAGGTAGAAAGAGATACATTTATGTACACTGTACATGTATGCCTACGTCTGCATGTAGAAATGTAAACAATCTGAATCTTTGCATGTACAGTCTCAGTATCATGTTTGTGTATGGTACATGATACATGTACATGTGCGGTATGTACACGCACGGTAGGTTTCCAGCTTCAATCAGTCTACTGGTTACATTTTTTGGAAGAAAATATTCAGAATTACCATATTATTATCATGTGGTTAAGAATGAAATTAAGAACAGGCATAGATTTGCCATGGTGCCTGAGCAGATGACTTCATTGGTACATGTAGTTGATGACAGAATCACTTCAATCTTTTGTACTCAAGTTTCATGTACATAATACCATACATGTACATGTTCATGAAGGAAGGATGCACATTGTGCCCGCCCGTACAAAGACCTTTGGTATCCTTTGTGTATGTTTTTGTTATTTCAGTTCATTCATAAACACACTAGTCTGTGGGCGGTGTTCGTGTATTGACAGAACCTTTGTGCTGGTACTTTGGCTGCATCTGAATCACTTGGCTATGGCTTGTAATCACACACAACTCTGTGGGAACAAGCTGTAGCCACTACATGTTGAACTTTGCAATTTCTTAGCTGTGCCTGAGTACTTGTACATGGCCTTTGATACCATTGTGTTGACTTGTGATGAGAAAATGTACCAGTGCATGTAGCATTTTCAAAACTTAGCAACTGAATCCATGAGCTACGGTTAAGTCACTGTACATTGTGCATGTACATGTGGATCTACGTTGATGTACACTATTTATAGTATGTGCATGAACTGTACACTACGGGTCAAATGTTACATCGCACTTGTGTGCACAATTTCAGGGACGTGTTTTGCAAAAAAGAACTTGAGTTGCAAATGAATGATCAAATCTGTGTGATGTGTCTTCATTTTACTCAAGTAAATTCATGTTTCCAATGGTTAATGGCATCCGTCTAACTTTATTTCAGTGCCGATTCCGAGACAGTTCCTTGCAACATGATAAAAATGCCATCTTTGATTGCCTCATTACGTATTCATGAGCTCATGAATATGATTATTGCAGCATTTAAACCAATGACAACAAAGTTCGTGTGGCAGGAAAAGCTTTATAATTAATATTTATAAGGTAATACGAACTCCCATTCTTGGAAATCTTCAAGACCGTCCATGAACTGGCAGTTGAGCTTGCCAACCACGCCAGCGTGCAGGTCAGCCGCAGGACTGTATCACACCGATTGGCTGAAGCTGGGCTTCATGGGCGGGTTGCCAGGCATAAGCATCACCTTACACCAGCTTACAAGGAGAGAAGATTAGCCTGGGCCCGTTTTTATCAGGGATGGACGGCCGCCGAGTGGGACCGCGTCCTTTTGAACGATGAGTCCATGTTCCAACTCTCTCAGTCAGAAGGCCGTGTTTACGTCAGGAGGGCAGTTGGTGAGGAGTACCAGGAAGACTGTGTGGTCCCCTTCGTGAAACATAGGGGCTCTGGCATCATGGTTTGGGGCTGCACAGGTTCTGTTGGCCTCACTGACTTGACATGGGCCACAGAGAATATCAACACTGATGTTTATGTGGATATTCTTTGTGACCACATGCTGCCATCTGCCCATCATTTGATTGACCCTAAATTCCTGTTTCAGCGTGACAATGCCCCGGCCACACGGCAAGGGTGACGCAGGAATTCATCGCTTATCAAATCCCAGATTTCATCTGAGATATGGCGGGTAGTTAAAAGTTTGAAGTGATGGAATGGCCAGCCCAGAGCCTCGACCTGAATCCCATTGAGAATCTCTGGGAAGAGTCGGAGCGTCGTCTTCAGCGTGAAAATTGACCCCGGAATAAAGAATAATTATTCGAGATTCTCAGTGGGATCTGGGAAGGACTTGACCGCCATGTCATTACGAATCTCTTGGATTCAATGCCAAGATGATGTCAGGCTGTCATGGAGGCAATGGGGCCTATACACGGTACTAAATGATGTGCCATCCTTCGCGTTTTGGGTCATGGGCGCGGCCATCTTGGATTTTGCTGATAATGATATAATAATGAGGGCATGCTCCGTTAACATTGTGCACAGAGAACAAAGGTAATGTCAAATTCGACGTTTTGGGCGACCATAAATGATTGATTCCTTAAATAAAACATGAATTTATTGGAATATGGACATTAAGCAAGACACAGGTATAGTTTTTAATGACCATCAATGACCACCAATGTACATGTGGATGTACCATGCTTTGTTACTGAATCACTTGTGATTGTAATGGACAGCAGGTACATGTACCTGTGCAGACTAGATTCATACCAGTAATCATGGACTATACATAAACCCACTGATTTACGGAGTCTACCGGTACATGGTACATTCTGTTTTCTAAGATTTTCCAGGAAACATTTGGAAATTCATGTACACCTATACATGTACATGTACATGTACATGTCTTATTGACATGTGGTTCAGAACGAAATTAAGAACAGCCATAGATTTGTCGATGGAGATTTAGTGGCTGACTTTGCAGATATGCCATGGTAATTGTCTAGATGATTGGATGGCAGTAATGTACTACATTTTGTGACATATGCAAGACCTGTCTGGTGTTGACATTACACAGGACGGGCTGACATACATTGGATTGTTTGGACTTTGAAGAATGGGAAATGAGGATTATTGTACAGGAGCACTCCATGGAATGCTGTTGAAATGACAGGAACTTGGTTTAGACTAACAAAGAAAGCAAACAAGCAAATGTTCATTTTCGTCAAGTATTTGAATATACACGTACATGTACATGCACATGTACATGCACATGTACATGTACATGTGCATGTTTATACATGTCGTTTTCTTTTAATTTCCTTAAGTTAGCCCAGGTAACTTCAAAGAAGTGGTTTTGGCCTCAAATACAATGTACACATGGTGCACGTACATCTCTGTTGAATAGGATAGAGCAGGCAGGTGATATGAGTGTACATTACATTCAGGATTTGGTGGCATTGTTCATATATCGGTAATGATAAGAAATGTACAGTCTACACATTAGAGATGCCACTTTTCCGATTTAATCGGAAATCCTACTTTTTGGTATTTTTTTCCCCAAATCCCTTTTTTTTTACATTTCCCCCTTCAATGTTTTTAACAAAAACATACAGTATTTTTTTTAAACAAAAACATTGACATAATTAAATGAAGAAGAAAAGACTGGAAGCCAATCTATGATGCGCACGTATCCTGCGCTGCACGACTGGGTACTTAATCTTGAGCGCAGTCGTCAGTATAGAGTGCTTACGTCAGTCAAATTGTGGGGCGAAATACAAAGGACAGCGTTGAGTGGTGTCGTCAGTGACTGGAAATACATTGAAATATTGACCTTAAACACGTACTAGCTCAGTGCACGCTCATGCAACATGCGATGCATGAACGTACACAACGAACGTACGTTGTACTGTATGTTGGATGATCAACACGTGGAGTTTGGAGTAAAAAACAGCAGGCTGATCTACATGTAGGATGCAACTCATTTCTGTGATCGACCAGCGATGATCAAGAAAGAACTTTTTTGTTGTTATAGGCGACTACACGATGAAGATGCACATTGTATACATGTACATGCACGCAGACCCATGCTTTAATACGTATAAAACCGACACCGTGCGAAGCACTGTGGATATGTTGATTTTCAGATTTTTTGGCATAGGCTAGTTGCATCTCTGACACATACATACATGTAGCTGCATCTATGTTGTGATTATATGACATGCTTGCATTGTGTTGTTCAAAATCTATTGCCGTAACCTAATGGAACATTCGTTGTACAGAACCCAATTATACTCTGCATATATGTATGGTACCATATGGCTATGGAATTTCAAAAATTATAAAATTCTTTTTAAACTTTGCAAGATCAAACAGATCTGATGTAGCAGCATGTGCTGGTTAATTAATTGTCTTGTCTGTTGTTTTTGTTTCTAGAGGTCCCTTCAACCAATGCGATGTAACTCCTGATTTGGGATTCTACCTGGAGAGAGTTTGATTTGCCAGGATGGATCACCCACCAACAGGAACTAATCACATCTCACCGCCGTATTCACAGACCTACCCTCCAGTCCAGCAACCTTATGGTCGGGAGCAAGACTTCAGCAGCTATCCACAGAAGATGGGTGATCCGTACTATAGTTCCCAGCGGTCTGGTACCACAGCTCCCATCTACCCAACGCCCTTGCCAGCCCTCATTGAACCGGGCCAGAACTTTCCTCCCCGGGGGCTGGATGGGCCCAAGATTGGAGGGCAACAGTTTGCCTTGACCAGCCCTGGGTATGGTCAAGGAAGTGCGGAAATGGGCCCCATGATGAGAGCATTGACAGAGGATGACGTGTATATGCCACAGCCACCCGAGTATCGGTCACCGATGCAGACTGTTGGTACTCCGTATGGACAGCCTATGGGGTATGCTTCACCCGATGGTACCCGTGCAGGTTTCTCTGCAGGCCAGTACCCAAGTCCCTTCAGTCCTGGCCATAGTCCACGGGCGTCTCAGATCTACCCTGTCCGTAGCCACCCAGTGTCACCCCACGACAGTGGGTTTGGAGCTAATCCCTCGCAGTATCACCGGCAAACCAGCCAGAGCCCTCACATGAACATGGTCAGTCCAACTGGTCAGAACTCTGTCTTCAACAGGGGAACGGGGGTGACGGCACCCTCACCCGTTGGACTTCAAGGACAAAGCATGTACTCTCACAGTCCGGGCTCTTCCCAAGGTGGGCGGAGCAATACCCACTTTCCATTTAGTACCTCGCCTAGTACCCAACATACATCACCGTTACCATCCCCGAGTAGCCTACGATCCCCTGGGGTTGTGCACAGCCCACACAATCTAGCAACAGCTTCTCCTGGGCCGTTTAACACTCCGTCCAACCCAAGCCCGGTGAATGTACCAAGACCAATCAAATCTCCTGTAGCGGCATTTCAGACACCGGCTGCCGTCACCCAATCAGGACACCCTCTGGTGTCTCCTAAAGTAAGACCTGTCGACAATGGGGATCACAGCTCAGGCGGAACACAATACGTTGAACTTCTGCACACGAGAAACAACACTCAAAATAAAACACACTCAACAAACAATCAAAAGTCCCCTGAGAGCCCGTATCCAAAGAAGAAAGAAGACAGGTGTAGCAGTGGGCATTTACCAAAACTGGAGGAGATGGTAGCCTTTCTTGGAGAGTCTGCTACCAAGGGCATTCTAACACCAAATGACAAAGAAACTGCTGAAGAAAATGGTGAGAAAGTCTCCAAGGATACAGCCAGAGTTGACAGCAGTTCTGAAACCTCGTCAAAGTCACACGCAGAACAAGAACCACCCTCTAATGTGATTCATTCTGGGAGCGTTCAGTCTGCTGAAAGACAGCCAGATATCTCAAGTGCAAAACAACGAATTGTCGTCCAGGAAAACAGCCAGTGTGCTCAAGGCAATGAAAACCCCAAAGCCCCCAACAGATCACAGACAGACAGAGTTTCCATGGATGGCAGTCCTAAAGGACCTAAGACTAATGGGGAGGTCAGCGAAAGAAGTCCATTGCCGAAACAATTGGCAAAATCCCCGAGATCGCCCAGAAGAAGCAATGGTAACAAAGACTCCCCTTATGATAGTCAGAATGGTCCGATCAGTGACACAGTCCCTCACCAAATATCCATCAACAGTTCCCTGGACTCGGACCCGAGGAGAACCCAGTCACCAGAAACCTTCAAAGTAGCCAATGATATCTCTCAGGTCGACAAGAACTCCATGAGCGTCAACAACCAGCTCAAACGTAAATTTTCTGAGACGCAGAATGATGTCTACCACAATTCCTTCAACAACTACCCCAGAAATGGTGGACAGAGTGTGACTGCTTACCCATTAACCTACACCCCACCCAACAGCAACAATGGTAAAGATCTGAATCAATATCGTCCAAACAGTCCCAGGGGCTCCAAGTCCCCAGCTAGGAAGTCCAAGGATGATTTCTCAGATGGCAGTCCACGCAAAGTACTAAAAACCTACAGTGGCAAGAAAAAACGGACTAGTGTGGACAAGCAGGGTAATGCAATCGTGTTGCCTAGTCCACTGCTGCCACTGTCCATGACAGACCCTCCAAAGCCCAAGGAAGATAAGCAGACAAGTTCTGAAGAATCTTCCTCTACCAGTGTGGTCAAAGAAGATCAAGAAGCTAATCCCAAAATATCAACAGCTGAGACGACTGTACCACCTAGGAGCACAACGCCAACCTTTAATAATCCCATGACCACTCCTAGTAGCCAACGTTCAACTCCTGAAAAACCAACCACGACAGTCTCCCAAAAGGTTCCGCCTTGTACCCCATCGGGGCCAGCCATATCTGATGCTTCGTCGACCCCTACCCCCACCAAAAGGCGGGGTAGACCACCAGGCAGTAAGAACAAACCAAGGAAAGAGGGCGATCCTCCTAAACAGCGCAAGAAGCCGACAAAGAAGAACTTTGATATGAGTCTGGAAGTCAAGGATGAACTTGGAAAATTCAAGCACCTCAAGTCATCAGTGAAAAGCAGAAGCTCAGATTCACCAGTTCCACCACAGGCTCGGTCGCGTGGCCCTGTACTCAGAATAACTGGAACTCGTGACAATCCAGTCTCTTGTAAAATTGTCAACAATCCAGACACATTAGCCACAGGTGCCACAGCACCCGCTAAGAAACGTGGGTCAAAGCACGACACATCATCCAGTAAAAACAGCCATTCTGTCAGCCGTGCGCCACTTGGTCCAGCCACTAAACAATCCCTTACTGTCAATAATCCAACCGGCTCTTGGCTTTGTGCATTGTGTGGGAAACCTGCCAACTACGACTCGTTAGGAGACCTGTATGGACCTTACTACCCTCCTGGCTACCAGATTCCTATTCTTAGCCCGCAGAGTACTCATGAGAAAACTAAAAGCGCTGTTGCTGCAGCAGCGAGCAAAAAGCAACAGCAGTATGTACGGACAAACCAGAAAGGCAAATTAAAAACTACAATCTCCCCCAGCCCTGCAACAGCTCGGACTTCCAAGGTACAGAGAGGGAAGGCCTCTAGAACGACCTCAGCACAACGGCAGCGTAAATACTCCAATGAGGCCGAGTATTTCATGCTCTTGGAAGAGGCCACCACATCATCGGGCCGAGTCTCCAAGACTCCAAAGAGAATGACTTTTGAAATGTCCAGGGTGGCAGGCAATCGCGCTGGCAATCGGCGGAGGAAATCCAGTGAACTTGAGGACAGGGGACCAAGTGATCCTAATGAATACTGGGTTCATGAAGACTGTGTTATATGGACCCAAGGTGTTTATGTAGTTGGTGGAACTTTGTATGGACTAGCCGAGTCAATCAAGGCCACACAGTCAGTGGTAAGTACATAGTACTATGGTTACATTATTTCAAATCCTGAGGGCTTTGCGCAACTATGGAGGATGGTTTTGATCAGTTTTATAGAAGCAGTAGAGGTTGCCAGTAAAGATTATAAACCTCTTCCCTTAGATTGTGACGAAGAATGCATCCAGTTTGTTAATTAAAAAGAAATGCATGTACATGCATAAAAAGAATGGTTTAAATAGGTCTGAAAAACTCTGTCATACAAAGTTTGTTAAAATCAAGTTTGTCAAACATTGCATGGAATTAATTGAAATGGGTTATGTCTGGGTCCGTGTTCTACCGGTGGCAAGGACCATTTTATTGCCAGGTAAATTTTTGGATTACCAAACTTTGCGAGCGCAGTGAGTGGAGCTCTCGCAGCCCATTGAAGGCATGTTTACAATAATGCTTTCGCAATCAGTGGCTTATTTGATACGAAGAAAATAAGAAACATATTTCTTATGTCTTTATTTCTTGTTTAAAATTGCAAAATAGTGCAAAACTGTGACTTTGTAAGCTTGAAATATGATCAAGTTGGTACTTTTCAGCAATATTTCAGTTCATTTTTTGAAAATCCGCGCTGGGCGGTACAGCCAATTTGAACTCAAGAGCTGGGTGGAAATTTACAGCACCAGGTGGTGCCACCTGGTGCTGCTCACAGTGGCTAGAACATTAATCTGGGTAATAATTCCCAAGAATGCATCCATTTTGTTAAAAAGAAATACATGGGTAAAAAGACTGCTTAAAAAGGTCCCGAAAAATCTGTTTTACAAAGTCCCACCCGAGTACGCTTGTGTTTTTTTCCACATGCCTTCGGGGGGCATACACTGAGTATACAGTGTTAAAATTCACGTCAGGCAGGGCAAAAAAAAAAAAAAAAAATACAATTAATTTACATCTCCCTGGCGCAAATCCATCTTTGAAATAGTATACAAAGATAATTGAAACCAAGTTTGTCAAGCATTTCATTGAATTCATAAAAATGGGTAGTATCCGTTCTTTTTCTCCTTGGTGCCTGTGACACCAACATGTCATTTTGGCACTGGCATGTGAAGTAACAGGACGTCATTTTATGACTTGTATGGACCGGTCTGTAGTTTGCTGGGCCCGGTTCCCCTTTTAACTTGCCGTCATTTGTCACACATCGAAATTGCCAACGGTAGTTCCCTGTCTCCTCTCCACATACCCACCCCTTAATGACATTCATAATTAATCTTTCCTTCTGGAACCTTTTTCTTGTTTCATGGTCGTTGTGTTCCGTCATTTCCAGGCATGCTTTGAGTGTAAAGATACAGGTGCTTCTCTGGGCTGCATGAGTAAAGGTTGCAAGAAGACCTACCATTATGTCTGTGCCCTGAAAGCCGGTGAGTGTTCATGTTTTCAAAGGGAAATCTTTTGATTTTCCAGCCCGAAATAAAGTTTGTGCTGAGATAAAAACATCAACTTTTCCCGACTTTTAGCATGTTCATGTATTATTTATGATTCAGGTTTTGCAATGAACATGTTCATGTATACTACTCAAAAAAGTGAAGGACCACTTAACTTGTAATTTTTTAGCAATGCAATGAGCAAGGTCTGGTTCTTTCATTTTTTGTTTGTCTAGATGGTGTTCGCACTGGAATAAAAAAACATCAAAATGCTTTAAAACATCAGATTCACATTTTCAGCAGTAAAATATCTCATTTAAAAAAAGTATACACAAAATAAAAAGTGGCCCTTAACTTGTTTTGAGTAGTGTATAAGTGGTGGTTATTACCCGGTAGTTTGTTTTTTTTTTTTAACACACTACCAAAATTTAGTATACGTTTTCAAAAGGAGTACTACTAGCCAGTTGTGAATATGGAATTCCTTTGGGTTAAAGTAAATCAAGAATGCACCACCGCATGTATCATGTGTAGTAGATGTTTGCCATTTGGTATTTTCCTTGAAGATTACAACTCCTATAGTCACCTGGTTTTAGAAATCTTGTTTTGCATTTTTGTGACAATGTGGTGTTGGTCAAGCTGCAAAAATGCATAGCTCTCTGAACAAATTAATCACCTCACATACAGATGTATAATGTTACTCACAATCATGTGCGCTCGTATTAGAAATGACAGAGTTATAAAAAAATACAGCTGGATAGCGTTTCTTAGTCGGAGCGGGGTGCGCACGTTGTGACCTGCAGAGTCCTGTCTGCAGATGACTAGAAAGTGAAATTGTTTGGCGGCCTGCCAGGAAGGAAAGGCTGAGGTCACATAAGGGTCTCCTGTAGGATAGGAAGGAACAGACTGAGAAGGTTGGAAGGGGGTGAGTAGGATCTCTGGCTGTGTTGCTAGAGGATGTTATAATGTACAGTGTGTCCCATTGCGTGTGTAGGTACATGCAGCTCAGCTGTGCTGAATATGTTGACCTAGCTATTGCCTGCCCGGGCCATGTGGGCCGCGTTTTAACACATCCAAATGCACAAACATTTTGAAAGCTGTCCTTTCTGTCGTTTAGTGCTTTAGAGTCTCGGCGTACTTTCCACATTTGAATTCTGTAGGAATATTGCCTTGTCCTAATGTAAGTATTCCACTATTTACATGGATATTACATGTAACTCTAACCTAAATCCAGACAAACAGCATTTTAAACAGATATGTGACGGTGGGACGACAACTGGGATGCTTTGCAATGAAAATGCTTGCCAACGAAATACAGTTATAACATTATGCAAATATAGAGACAAACTGTAACTTGACATGGCTGGTACATGTGTACAGTTTATCGACTTTGAATGTGGGATTTTTCTAGAGTATTCTTGTATCAGTCTATAGGTACCGGTATTAAGGTTCCATCATGCTTCATGTCAATGCAGTGTTCAAATTAACCAGGGGATGATTGGGGATCACTTCCTGTTCCAGAAACCCCACGAGATCTTTTTCCATTTGTGAGTGCACCAGCAGGTGCTTTGTGACAAACACACTTGTTCTTCACTGAGTGAATAAATATGTGCTTGGCTGGTCTTCAACATTCCGGATCAGGAGAATGGAATTTCATAATACCTGAGCTGGAAGCGAAGGACATTATCAGCATCCATTCTCTTGAGCCAATCTTACAGAGGTAGGGAAAAGAAAACCTTTCCCCAATTGTAACCTTTAAACAAGAGGTGACAAGACCATCTTCCAAAATTAACATGAAAAAAATGGAACAGTTTTCCCATTTGTAATTGAAAAATGTCCCCAAAATGGGCTTTAATGAGTCCCTTTTTCGCTGATTTCAGAAACACTCATGTACTGTATTAATGATTTGCCGGTGGCCCCAAAACATCACAGGGAGATGTGGCTGTAAACACGGTGCATCTTCACATGTCAAGCTTCATTATAGAGGCATGCTCAAAATGCAAGGTTCTTGCACGGTTCTTGTCCACAACATTGACTGTTTCATATATCAAGTTTAAGTGTTTTTGGTTATAAAACAAACCATACACGTACCCCGGTCTTGTGCAATTTGGACCGGAGTGTCGTATTCTGAGACTTGGTCTTGAGGTTTCCATGTAATAACGCGTTGAATCGATCGTTGCCGGACAATGCATTACGGGTAGATTTTAAACCTTCGCGGTTGTTACAGATAAGTAATATGACAAAGATTTTGGAGGACTGCTTTGACAAACATCCAGTGTCTGCGAAAGCACTTTGAATTTAGAAAAGCGATGCATAAGCCTGGCTGACTGCTTGTGTTGTGTTGGAGCTGCCAGGGTATGGTGCTGTGCTGCTGGACCACCGTCAGATTTGTTTGGGGACTGCCACAGGAGTCCCACAACGCTGACAGGCTCCGTGCTGTCATCCTCATTCATCGACAAGTTACTTTCATAGGAATTGAATCCACTCACTTTCACCAGAAGAATCCGATACGTCTTTATCTCTTTTTCTTGGACACATTGAAAATTGTAGACTTGGCAAACAAGCACGCACATGGGTTGCTGTCTTTTTTCTAGAAGCCTCACATGTACACACAAAGGCAGCCCACGATTCAGGTCTGGGTACTCCTATCCTGAGTGCATTATTCTCTGTGGCGTATGAATAGTCTGTTGCCACTTCACGTGAAGACGAGTGCACTCTCACATAGACCGGCATGCCATGCAAACTATGCTCCTCGTACTCCTTTTGGAATCTCACAATTATTTTGACCAACTAAGAGTAAGATTTTAGGGTTTTGTATCTCAGAGATTTACATGTACGTATAATATTGTGCATTTTCTACACGGCCATCAAACTCATTTTGATGCATTTTGACCACAACAATGCCAGTTTATTCATGTATCTTCATGCACGCTTCATGCATGCCTGTCATGGACTTGCATCATCAACCCAACACATTCACAAAATTTAACCTTGTGGGTTTTCGAAATCGGCCCAGTTGGTTGTAGACAGAAATTCTCATATCTCATATCTCTCGTGTTGATTTTGGAAGCTAAATTCATTGTATACTGTTTTGTGGGTAGCCAATCTACCTCCCAAACCCTAGAAGTTGTAATATTTGAAGCCTTTTCCCTACCTCTTTAACTGAACGTTTAAGGCTGGCCAAACACAGGTTCATTTCTATTTATAAATACAATGTACCTCTTCAGCCACAAAGTCAAAAGAAGTTTTGAAAAGTATTAATTTTCTTTAATTTTGTTCATCAGTTTTCATTTTTTTTTTTAACACCCCTGTAGTTGTGTTACTTTACTCTCATGATTAGTTGAAAACAATCTCCTCAAATAGAGATTGATTGGACTCGGCGCACACTGCGTGAAATGGTGGACAGTGGTCATGTGATAGGCACTCAACCAATAAGAATGGCTAAACTGTTGTAGATACATGTATTTATGAATGCCATTTAGACACACTGATGTGAAACAAATACTGTAAGACATTACTAGAGTAATGTTCTTGAAACTTTTCGTGTCCAATGGTTTAGAATCCCAATGACATTCTTTCACTTCTGGTTGGATTCTGACTTGCCAAATCTACCATAATGCACGTGTCTTCTGGTGGCTTGCTTGACATTTTGCCAGATTTGGCCAGACAGCTCCAGTGTATGGCTTTTTCTTGTGCGGTTCAGCAGATGCAGAACCCTGCCTGTTCTGTTTATAGAATGCATTTGGCATGAACAGGCAGAGTCACCCTTGAAAGGGGGGGGTGGCTACTACTGTTTCCTGTGGCTGTCAAGGATTCCTTAGTCATTTTCTTGTAACAATCAACCTGTCTGGTTTATCTGTATGAAGTTGCTTTCATTTCTGATTTTAGAAACATGATACAAAATGGCACCAAAGCAGTGTTTCCATGTCAGTTTCCATAGCTCATTTGAATACAACTTGTTCTTCATAAAATATTTGGTCTGTCAGGGTTTGATATATTTCATAAGACACTTGCATACAGCTACAAACAATTTCAAATATTGCAGTGTAAGATCATTATCTTTACGGTAGTATCTATTGTCTTAAGCATTTTGTAATTGGTTTGTTTTTTCTCCCCAATCCTCTCACAGAATGTCAGCTACAAGTTGACAATTATTCCATGATCTGCCCTCAACATAAGGTAAATATGAAGAGACCATTTTTAACTGTTGTTGGATGTGATGAACATGTCTAAGCTGGTTCCATATCAGGATTTTTGAACTGTTGTTGGATGTGATGAACATGTCTAAGCTGGTTCCATATCAGGATTTTTGAACTGTTGTTGGATGTGATGAACATGTCTAAGCTGGTTCCATATCAGGAAAGAAAAGTTACCAGATAATCCAATTATGAGATACATTTAAGTGTTACACAAAGAATTTGATTGATTCAGTACAAAATATTACCCGTAGTTTGGTATTAGTTCTGTATCCAAACATTTTGTTGGATATAAACACCTGAAGTCATTCAGTATTAACTATCTGTCAAAACTCTAAGATCTTTGAATTGTGAAGTTCAAATTAATAGAATTCTGTTGCATGTGATTTTACCTAAGTCCGTCCTGTCTGTGTGAAACAAAGTCTCTTTAGTTGATTGTGTATGCTTATTTTCAGGACAAGGTTGTAAAAATGAAAGACCTGACATGATATAGAATGAGATCGCTGCCGACCTGGAACTTTGTACAGTGTTTCTGCTCCTGAGATACTTGGCATCTCTTCCATGGAATGCACACTACTGCCAGACAAGATGACCTCTGACCTTTGGTGACCTTTGAACTTGTGTTGTGTGTCAACAAAATGCTCATATAGTTGGAGGCCATGATTGCTCTATGGTTATTCCATTGCTGTGTAAAAATTTGGACATGTTTTCACTTGTACGTTGTTGTGGTAAGTCTGAGAACTTTAGTTCATTTTGGAGGGGACTGGTTCTAAAGCCTTGTTCATACAACAAAATAAAGTAATCCTGTAAAATAATTCATCAATCGTAAAAAAAGCAACTTGTTTACAAGTGGTGTTTTCATAAAATATGTTTTTGTTGCATTGGAAGAGATCATAGAATTGTGATTAATTTGTGGTTAGCTTGTTATTGTACACAGTAGAGTGAGATTAGTGGTGACAAACTAGCAACAGATTGGTGAATGTAGGATAAAATTCCTTGAAGAGTTTTCATAGCCAGACTGTGGTGTGACCATTCCTGAGGGTCTGTGCCTGAGTGGGCGATGAATGATGTTTGCAACAAGATTTCTTTGGTCACTGAGAGAAACTCATTGCCAACTTTGACTGAGCGTCAAAACTCCAGGGCATTTGGAGACAGAGGAAGGTGTCTGAGTAGCCACTTGGTCTTGAATCGACATGTAATCACCAGAATATGGGCAAGGTTTCAAAAGTATTTGCAATATTCTCAGTACAAAGAGCCGAAGAGTAATTTCTCATGTGAAAAAGTGAAAAAAAGAGAAAATGAAACTCTGTCATTTGAGGAGTTTGTGTTTGGTTTTTATTCATAAAATATAAATCTCACTATGTTTACCTCATTAAAAGAAATTTTCCAATCTTTTCCCATCCAAGTTTAGTCCACTTTGGCAGTTGTTTAAATAAACATTTTCTTCCTGTTTCCATAAAATTTCATGTCTTCCTAGGAAAACAAAAAGAAGAAATCAAAGCCAAGCAGTCACTCAAGCAAAATTAGCAGTGTTGAATTTATCCAAAAACAACGTCAGAATCAAAATGAAGAAGTCATCATAGCCTGTATTCAGCCATTTTTTTTAAGGACAGTATAATTATAAGGTGGGAATAATTGGAAAACAAGGATGGAATTGGCTGGATTATTAGTCAGACCATCCTTTTGGGGGCACATCCATATTAAAAAGCCATACTTGACTACAGGGTACAAGATCAGCCTTTTGCGGTATCTACATGTATTTGTCAGGCTACCTGAGTGCTATCAGGAAATGTAGACATGTTTCTTATTGTGATTTCAGTCTGATCATGACTCAGTTTAGAACATTTGATCCTGTGGATTACAACTTTTATACCAAGTGTTGCCTGGTGAACAAAACAGAATGATTTCCCTTTGCAGCAAAGATCCAATAGAATGCTGTCGCAATAATCAAAGAATTCCCCCATCCAAAAAAGTGGTCCACATGAGTTCTACCCAGCAAGTGTTGGTTCCAAAGGAGATGTTTGCTGTTCCACAGGTTAAGGCATTCTGCCGTAAATGTACATCTAATCTGCTTATTGTCCCTGAATGTACTATCCTATCCGTGTATTTAAAACTGAAACTACTTGAGGTTTATTAAGAATGAAATCTGCGTGGATGAAGCTGGTTGATATCTTTTCAGCCAATATTCATTTTTGTTACAAACAAGTGACATGAACAAAGTGAATGACAAGTGATTAGTTTAGCCCAAGTGAAACTGAGAGTTGGTATTGACCTTTTGTCTCAAAAGAGTTTCCTGATAAATGGCAGAATGGGGCTGACCTCGTTTTGCCAATAACTGATGGTATACATGTACTTGTTTCTGGATCATAATCTCATGGTTGTTAACTTGGCTTACGAAGTCGTAAACCTACAAGTTCTATTTCACGGTTCTATTGAACAGTCCATATGTCTGAATTCTGTTAGACAGTATAAATACACCGCCACAAAAGAAGCACACAGCTACATGCTGGCAAAAAGAAATCTCTTTCTTTACAATCAATCATTTAAAAATTACCAGTATCAAAAGAATATGCGCATCACAGTTGTAAGGTGAGAAATCAAACCGCTTGTATCCGTCTGCTAAACATGGCAGCTTATAAAAAACATTCTATCCGAGTGTTTGATTTTGTTGGGTTGGGGAGGGTTCATTTTACTTATAAAAGGTTTTTTTGGCTTTGAAGAATGTATAGCGAGATAGATGAAAAGGTAATGTGTATCTTCGTTTGTTCTTTTGAAGACAGACTTTGGAGAAGTTTCTGATTGACTGCCAACTTGTTGGAGTTTGTTTCCTTTTGTTTACAGTCAAGAGAGCTGTCGGTTTCATTTCATGAGAGAAAATGATCGTAGACAGTGAAAAGTGATTGTCTTAATTATTGTTATAACAATAAGTGTGGTGGTTTTGATTTGATTACATACTTAGCGTGCTTAGCGTGTACAATGTTGCATTACATTGTGTACATAAGACTTCATATCGGGAGGAGTTAAGAGGTGTGCACGCATTCATGTAAGTGTTCTTGGCAAAAAGATTCCAGACAAGAATTCTGTAAAAGGGGGCTGAATGAAGTGATGGATGTAACCCGCATCTTATCAATTGGTTTCAGCCCAATGTTAAAATTCTTCTTAGTAGGGTGGCATTGTTCTAAGTGCACACGTGCAACTCCCAAATATGCTGTGAATGAACATTTCTTCTCCATACAGGTCTGTCAAAGACCGAAGAAGATTAGTAGAAATTTGGTACCCAAGATATGCATTACTTTTGATATTGTAACATTCTGAGACAGGAGTTCATGATGGTGATTTTAGAATCTCCATTCTTGGCACACATTTGTCCTGTTTTGCTGAGTTTGGTATCATTGGACAAGGATCATGCAGTATGCAGAATAGTTCGTATTGGATAACATGCCAGGGACAGTTAAGGACCAAAGCTAATAGGGAAAGAAACTTGTCAGTCCAATCTGTCTGGAGTAACTTTGTTACAGTGTGAATTTGAACATTTGAGAGAGTTAATGGAGTCTTGTAAACAAAAACGTTCCTTGTGTTAAAAATGTAGGCATTTGAACAGTTTAAAACTCTTGAAGAAGCCAGGTTTCTTTGCCTGGAAAGTTGTGTTTTCAATATTGTTTCAAACAAAAAGGTAAATGTTTGGTCAATACTTATTGTTTTATTCTCTGTGCATTTCATGGTTACTATTATAAATAAGATGAAAATGTACACTTTTTGTGGGTTGCTCATTGTCCTGTATTTCATTGATGTTTTCTTTTTGTATGTTTATAATACAGTTGGAGCGTTACTCTCTGTATCCTGAAGAGACAGTTTGCATTAAAAAGTTACCAAATGGAAACTGGAATGCTTGTGGAAATATCTTCCTTTATAAAGCAATTGTGAGATTAAGGCATTTGTATATGCCAATTTTAGTTTTGAGGGAGTAGTGGAAGTCAGTCAAGGGCAGACCTGGAACCTGAATATTGGGGGGGGGGTGTTTCAGCAAGTTGACAGTTTTTCATGTAATCTTTTTGGTTCTGAGATGTGCGCGATGTTTTGTTGCATCTCTCTTGAGTTGTCTGAGTTCCGATGCGTTAATGTTTGTTCGCGTTTGGAGGAAAAATGGAAAAGAAACTACAGAAGAGGCTCCGTCTCTTCATTTCTGCTCCTACTGAATGAAACTTTTGGTGGAGTGATCCCGTTGTGCTTCTTGAATATGCCAGTTAGGTAACTTTTCGTTGTTATCTGAGAATAGGCTGGATATAATATAGTTGTACAGCAATATTTCATGGAGTTTTTAAAGGTAACTGAAAAAGTCCAGCTTTCGCTAGGATATAAAACCAGAACATTATTCTACTGTCAAACTCATCAAATGAGGACAAAATCGCCTTTAACAGAATGTTGCATAGAGGGCGCAGTAGTAGTGTACATGTGAGAGGAGGCCGCGTCTGTAAAAAATAGAGGGCGTGCTTTGATTTTTAACTGATATTTCTAAGCATAATAGAGGGCGCTGCTCCAAAAAAAGAGAGCTCTTAATATTTAGTCAATAGAGAGCGCTCTTTGTCAAGTCTACAGAGGGCGCCGTTTAAGGCTAAATAGACTGGTTCCTGAACGCAACATAGTCTCCAGACGTCCAGTCCTACGAGTAACTTGATAAACTGGATGAGGAATTAGAGTGGAGACCCAGGATTTCGTCTGAAGAAAGAGAAGAATGCAAGTAAAATGTCGTCAAGGGTCGTGAAAATGTGTTGGTAAGACTAAGTGAACGTTAATAAAAATTAACACCTTTACGAAATTGCAAAGTTTGGTCAGAATCTGTTCTGGAAGCTCACAAATAATGTTTACTTCATTGCTGTACAAAATTAACTACAAAAAAACTAGTCTTACTACTGAGGCTGACACTATTATGGTCGAGTTCGGGCGCCGTGTTCTTGACACGGGTTTCTTGTTCTCGCGCTCGAACGATGGGAACACGACTCAAAAACACTGTTCTCGGAACAGGNTTTTGATTTTTGAACAGCAGCAAAAAATAGAGAGATTGTATACAAAGTTAGAGACAATAGGAAGTTTTGTAAAATTAACATTAATTATTTTTCACAAGATAGAAGTGAATATTCCTGTTTGAATAGGAAGAATTTAGCCCAGTTGTCCAAGCATTAACTCTTGAATAGTTTACTACAACATGGACACCGACATGTTGCTTGTCACTAACTAGGCCTACCAGCGATGACCAATTGTACGTAACCAGCGTTCGAGCGGCCGACCCAAGAACAACAAATCAAGCTGTTTGTGAAGGTACAAGAACATGCTGCCCAAACTTAGCATATAGTATAGACTCACTCAGGCATGGCAGGCTTTTTGACTGTTTATGCACGATACAACTGACTCACGTTTACGAGCAGTATCAACTTTAATTATATGACTGTAAGATACAGCCCTGTGTGCCTACTGTCCAATGACTTTTTATGAGTTCATAGAGGGGCTGCACTGACATCCTCACACAGGACCATTTGTTCCTTGTGTGATATGCTTAAAGTAGACCCTACTTCATTGTCATTTAATGTAAATAACAAACATGTCCTCTGTGAGGGCACTCCATGCAGTTCCTCTATAGGTCTTCAGTCTGATTTGAATGTAGTCAAGTTTGGCCTAAATCAGATTAATCAAGCAGTCAGTAGGTTAGGGTGGGGGTATTTTTGACCAGGAGGAGAGAATTCGACCAACTTTATACAAAAACTACACAGCTGGTCAAATTTCTTGCTAATATCCTGCCTGTACCCCAGCCTACATGTTTTTTACTGTCATACGACTGTAATTCATCTTTCTCAGTTAAATCTTCCCTGCAAACAAAGTGACAAAGGCTTACTGTTCATGTTTACAAAGGCTATCTTTAACTATTTAGTGAATGCCATGTTAATTCTGTTGGTTGATTCAAATCTTGATATTGAAGATTTCTTCTCTGAAACAACTGATACAATACACATCTTGTGATCACAAATTATTAAAAGTCTTGGGTCGGGTCTAGGTATTAACTTTGCAAGGCTTATGTGTTTGTTAAATCATTCTGGTTTTCTGTTTCATTAACTTGGTATCCAATGCTGTTAAAGTATTATACTACATTTGTTTCATTTGTATTTTGGTTATGTGTCCAACTGTGTCTATTTTGTTGTTTTTTCACGATTACATTGTGTAGTTTGTTCAGGCTGTTCTGCTCACAAGCCTTGGCTTATGTCAACAGCCTTGTACATGTACTTGCCTACTGTATTTCTTTTTTTGTGTGAAGAATTTCCCTAGCTGTTATCCGTAATTTAATTCATTTACTTCAATGTATTATTTTTTATTGAGGCAGCATGGGTTCCTGTCCAAGAGGCCGGCCAATTCTATGATTCCTGGACCAGTTTCTGGACAATCTGTGGCATTGTGGGATCCCTGTTGCCTGAGTGAAGGAGACCTGTGTGGAGAGGATGAAATGTCAAAGACTGGTCCATGAGGGCGCTGCAGAGGCAGAGCGTTGATGGTGGGAGGAGGACAGTCCCGTCAGAAGTAAGCCGTCATGCAACCTACACTCGTAAACAGGAAGTCGTGGGTTCAAGTCCCACCCAAGCTTGCTTTGGTTTATTTTGACCAGCCTTTGGGGGAAAACACTTGGTATACAGTGTTATAATACACGTCAAACACGGCAAACTATCTAAAATTAAACTGCATGATTCTATTGGCATGACTGGATGAAATTCAGCCAATCAGATGATTTTATTATCTTGTGGTTATTTGACCATTTTTTTTCGTCACTTAATTATCACTGTACTGCGCTGCACCGGTGAACAGGTTTGATTCACAATACAGTGTGCCACCCAGAGGTTGCCATGGAGAGGCCATTTTTTAAGTTTATGGCCGAAAAAAGCATGGCCGCCTCGCCATGATTTGCATTTGAGCGATAATGTTATTAGACAACTTGGAGAAATGTGGGATAGATTGGGACATTCCATGCAAAAGAAAGAAGAGGGCATTAATTGAAACCACTACTCAAAATACACTTTAATATGAATCTTCTTCCCTGACAAACAAACATTGAGAATGATTCAAGATCCCCACAAGCAGGTGAGGAGGAGAATTGTTGACCATTGTTCTGTACAATGCAAAAATAGCCTTTCTGTGGCAGCCTCTTGGTGGAGCATTGTATTGTGAATGCCCTGTATTATTCCACTTTAGATTGGTTTATTGAAGTGAACTACTAAATGTGTTTTGAAGGATAGGACACCAGTGAAGCGAAGCGCTGGTAATGAGATGTTATAGGTACATGTACAGTAGAATGCCGCTGTAACGAACAAGACGGGGCCCACGCTAAATGTTTGGTACAGCGGTCGTTCGGGATAGCAAATTTATTTGCAGAACGTTTCATTGCTATGTTGAGTAGCGCCCTCTCTAGTCTAACCAAAGTGCACCCTTTTGTGATACCTTGGTTCGCTGTTTTCATGATGTTTTGCCCTTGCATTCAAGTTTAAGGTTTCTAGAAATGTATCTGTTAATTATTTTTGTTTTTGATTTAAACTTGAGTCAAAAAATTGATATCGAGTATCAGTGGCGCCCTCTTTAGAGTATTGTTAGTGCAATGCCACCGTACGCATATGTGTGGTTTTTTTCCGCACTCGATCATGTGGAGTCGTAAAACCAGTGTCTATTCAATACTGTTGACAACTAGTGGCTTTCCCTTCTAATCCTTGGGGAAATAATGGCCACTTGTCACTTTCCAACATAAAAAACACCGACTGTTTTATCATGTTGACATTTGGGAATTACAAACAGCAACTGAATAGTGTTTGGTAGGTTCTGTGCACAAATTATTGGGAGCCAAGGACAATGTTCGATACAGCCGAATGTTTGGTATGGTGGTGTTCGGTATAGAGGCGTTCCACTGTATGTGTATATCAGCCTTGATACTTGATCTACAGAATGCTGCATGCCTCGGACAATGAAGGGCACTGTCCAGCACAATAGTGCTGCTTTTTGTCATTTTGGTATGCCTGAAAAAATTTAGTAAGTTTTCAGACAAAAGTGTAAAGACATCAGGAATTTCTTCTTGTTTCATACATGCATTCTAAAAAACCAAATAGACCACACCTGTCCATATGGAGCAAACAGGCTTTTCAAGAAAGTATTAAACAAACGATGATTCATGAAAGGATGAAGTTTTGACATGTCAACAGCAAGGGTTTATTGTGTCTCAATATTCAACCACAGAGCCTTCGTGGTTCCCCCTACTAAACTCCTTCAATCAGTTTGACCCTTCTCCCGAAAGGCTAATTGCATTATGAAAGTGCACCTTATTTTTTAATTACTGGTTTTGCCCTTAACTGACGTATATTCATAAACACTGTATACTTGGTGCTTGTCTGAGAGCTTATGAAAAAATTCACAAGCTTACTCAGGTGGGACTAGAACCCACTACCTCCTGCTAACTAGTGCAGATGTCTTAACCACTTGACCATCACGCTTACCAGTGCCGGCTGGCCAGTCTAAGCAGACAGAGAGTCAGATGTACATGTAGCTGATCTTTTCAAATATACAATTCCCCCCAAACACACTTGGAAACTTACACAAATTATCAAGGCAAGACCTTTCAACAGTTTCAAGAGCCACTACAGCCATTTAAGGGAAGATGTTCTCATCCTATTAATGAGTGACCTTTCATCTGACAAAAGCAGTGTATTTTTGTTACTCTGTTAAACTCATGTAAAGTTTCATCCCACCAGTTTCCCTAATTTCTACAGTCACAGTGATGCTGTAATCTTTTTTCTTGTAGAGGATTGTGGTCGATGATTGCCATTTGATGTCATAACAAAGGAATGTTTGAAAGTCATCTGCAATCAGAGGTTGCAATCAGAGGTCACATGACAGAAGTCACATGACAAGGTAAAAAGTTATGCATGTAATTCTGTTAAATTTTGCGTCATGACTAGTTAGTTTTAGGTGAGTAATTAGCAGTCGGTGCTCCATGATTAAAAAACCGTCACAGTATAAGTGCAAACAATGTGACCGATGCTTTTTGCTGGAAATGAATTACACTGTATTATGAAATTCTGTTTCCTATGCTTAAAAGGAAATGTTTTAGCTTAAACAGAAACTTTGTAAAAAAAAAGTTTAGGAAAAAAAATTTGTAGAAAAATCTCATGCAGAAAAGTAAGAAGTTTGAAATCATCAAAGTGTTTGCAGTCACAGTGTATTTTTTTTCAGTGTAATTTTAAGAGGCACACTGACAAGGTAAGGTGTTTCTCAAATGATCAGCAGTTCTGCACCTTGCAAGTGTTCCACAAATTGGCAAGAACGATTAAGGATTTTTGAGTTTCACAGTCGCAATTTATTTCTTTTGCACAGGATTTTAGTCGATGATCACCTTTGATGCCACAACGAAGGAGTGTTGAATGAGCTCTATTGGCAATCAGAGGTCACATGACAAGGTAAAACTTATATGGAATCATTAGAGTTGGGAGCCATCTTGTTTTTTTTTTCAAAGTGATTTTTAGGAGCCCAGCTAAAATAAACATCTTCATGCACGTAGTAATTTGTCAAATGAGGAGCAGTTTCCACAGCTTACATATGATCACAAACTGGCAAGAATGATTATGAATTATGTGAATTTCACAGTTTATGTGGCGGGTCAAGGAATATCAAATGGCTAAGTTGTCATTCTTGCCATCAGGGCATTGAGATGAGGCCAACTATTCTTATTTTGTTTCTGCTCTTTGACAACAGTGTTCTTAGTAATCAACAAAGAACTTCCACACAAACTGGAAAAGTTGGTATTGTGATAAGAAATTGTGTAGGATATAATGTCCAACATGCCATAATGCACCAGACACTCCAAAAACTTTTGAGTGTGTGTTACGTAAGTTTAGTAACTTTTTGTCATTAGTGTGAATCTTGAAGTTAAAAGTTCATACAATTAGTAATAGAGAAAAATTATTAGAAGTGAATCAGTCACAAATATAATCCACCTCTAGATGCCGCTTACAAAATGTATTACTTCAGGACCAAATAAATTCCAGGGGTGTAAAATGCTAAAAATTAATAAATTGGTCAGTTGAAGTGCTGCAGACATCCCGGTGTGCACATTGAGATTAGAACCTATCTAGTGAAGGATTTAGTATTAATAACCTGGCAGGCAAGTTGATATTAGGATAACATTTGAATGCTCCATTGACAAGGTATTTTGTGCTTATGTACAGTAGAAATCATTCAAAACACCACAAATTGTTGGAGTTTCAAAGTACAATGTATTTGTGGCAGGTTTTCTCTTCTGTAGAAAAGATCTATAAATTTTGATGCGGCAAGTCTTTGAATCGCATTTCACTTGCGACAGATTGGCTTTTGCATTGAGAACCGACATTTAACATTAAATCATTTTTTTTCATGAGGTGTTGGCGTCAGCTGGTGGGTGCCTGTCACCGATGTCTGGTCCTTCCAAGATGCATGATGTCACCAACAGCTTCCTTTATCAGGTATCCGCATCAGCTGATGGGTCCCTGTCACCAATGTCTGGTCCTTCCAAGATGCATGATGTCACCAACATTTTCATTCATCAGTTGATTGCCTTTGCTGAAGGCAGGAGTCAATCATACGGATGTCCAGAGGAGTTGGCGAAGGACTTGAGCTCACTTTAAATGGAAAAGATGAGAACAATTTCTCATTGTTAAACCTAAAACTACAATTTCAGTACAAAAACTTAGTTTTTGGAAAGTTCTTTGAATACCTATAAGCTGCACAACCTTTTTTTTAAAATTACGCAAAGATTTACTTCCTGGAAATTAAAAATAACCAAATCTGATGGAGATAAACTATTACTAAGAGCTGATTTTGTTTCAGTCCATTCACAACACATGCAAAAGCCATGCATGAGTCTAATATGATGGTAAAATACACCACACGTGATCTTTTAAGACGAATTGTGTAATTGGCTCTTAAGGTAGCATGCACGCACCAATATCGTTGTAGCAACATGTATACACAAAAAGATGGTGGCATTTTCCTGAGCTGAACGATGCCTTTCATTACAAAGGTACAGTAATTACAACATAACTAGTCCATATACATGTAGCATCCCTCAGTATCGGATGTTGACAAACAAGTTCTCTCGGATTTGCCGAGGGAATTAGTTTGTCAACTTCCAATGCCTTGGTAAGCTAATATGGATGATCAATATGAAAACCGTTATTATTTAATGACTTGACACTTGTTCGCCACTTTTAAAATTTGATCAGGTCATTTCAAGAATAAAATAAGTAAAAAGGGACTTTGTTGATGTCCATTGTTTTTATTTGTCTGACTTTCGTCACGTCTTGCATTCAATTTGGGAAAATCACCGCCTCCTGATACGATACTCTTTTGATATCTCTTGAAGGTTGAATGTTGTGAATCGTTCAAAAACACAAATTGAAAAGTATTTTCAATTCCGTGAGAAGACCTGCATTTTGATTCCTGTGTACATTTTACATTAACATGAAAATGGCGACTGCAATGTACTGCATGCTCTTAAATTAAAGGAAAATACCCGCAGATGCAACTTTCAAACCGAGACTAAGTAAAAGACGCTAAATGGTTGGAATTTATGGAGCATATTTTGGATTGTGAGTCAGATTTAAAAAGAACTGAGCCTATAGTCCAAGGAACTCAACTCTAAACTGGAAACTTAAAAAGAACTGTGCCTATAGTCCAAGGAACTCAACTCTAAACTGGAAACTTAAAAAGAACTGTGCCTATAGTCCAAGGAAATCAACTCTAAACTGGAATTAGAGCAACAAATTTATACCTTTTTACTTGGATATTTCACTGGAAAGTTCTAAGAATGTGCTGCCCTGCCTGATAGTTTGCTACTCAGAGTTGGAGGGTTTTAATTGCGAGTATTTCTTGGCTTACCTTTACGATTTCTGAGGGTTTAACATCGTCAAAATGTGTTGATGGCAAAGTTACTTGTAAACCGCTTGAGACAGGTCACGTGACTCGTGAACCAATAATAAGGGGGGAGAGAGGGAGACTACGAAGCGAATAGAAGACATTTTTCAGCTGTGCTGTCATTGCTCATGCAAACATTAAATGAGGCAAACGGCTGCAAGGAAGACCAATTCTTTTGTTAGATTCCTTTGTTCAGTCTTGCCTTAACAATAAAATGTTTCCAGGCATACGGAGGACTAGACGCCAATATCTTTGGTTACTCTTGAGTGAACAACAAGGGGGAACACTGAATCAGAAAATCTCACTAAACTAGCCTTTAAAAGCATTACCGCCAACAAAGTGATGTTTTTGGCAGAGGAAATTACACAGAAAGCCAGGAAACTGATGACTTTAGTATAGGAAATTACCTTTAGAATAGATCTTTTCTTTCAAAACTCAACAATTTCCAAGGAATACAGATTTGGGTATTTGAACAGGTAGAGAACTGAAAAGCTTTTCACCTTCGAACGTAGATGGCGCTCTTTAAAGTGTACGGTCTTGGGGTCTGGAAATGTGATATATCGGTTGGACTGCTATGATCCAAAACGAGGCTGCCGCCTTCGCATTGTTAACAACTATCCAACAATGCGAAGGTGGCAGCCTCGCTTTGGGTTGTAACAATTCACTATTCAG